AGTCATGAAAAAGAAAGGGAATTTATGTACATGCTCAAGTCTCATTTCTTGAGAGAAGCCCTCCCACCCATCCAAACAACCTTAATTAATCGAGAACTTTTCTTAAAGGGAGCGTGGTTGTTTTGGCTGGCCGACTGCTTCGGATATGATCTTTGAAATGAGTGACTACGTTAAATCATGATAATGAAGTCTGACCATTAACCTCCCACAGAGCAGATTACAGGGATGGGGGTGATGAGGAAGTTTTTTATTTTTCTTAGTGCTATTGTTTCAGTCTGTTTGCAGAGTAAACACCACGAGTGTGTCGGTTGATTATGCTGCAGACCATCTCTCAAGTGAGGAGATGGATAGTCTTTAAACATCAAAAGCTGGGGCTTAGAGAAAACATTCTTTGGGCAGATCATAGAATCGTAGAATGGTTTGGGTTGGAAGGGACCTTAAAGACCATCTAGTTCCAACCCCCCTGCCATGGGCAGGGACACCTTCCACTAGACCAGGTTGCTCAAAGCCACATCCAGCCTGGCCTGGAAAGAAGTTGGGGAGGCTGTAGGTCTATGCACCTGTGCCTTCCCAGCCATCCCAACTGTGTGCTTACTGAGTGGCTGTTCCTAGAGCATTTGTCTCCTTTACTTTAGCTTCTCCCTGACACAATTGCATACAACACCTCTGAGCGACAGAGCCCTCTTCATTGCTTTAAGATTGTCTTGCCTCAATTAGAGCAGCAGAGATTCCCTCCTCCCTTCCAGCATTTCTGCAGACAAGCACAGCCCAACTCTTAAAAGGTGTGTTTTTAAAGGGCATCTCGCCTTCTGCCTGTGGTGCTCTGAATCGGTTAGGGCTGTCGCATGGCTATGAGCCCCCAGGTAACAAAAGGCAGTTACTGATTGTAAGGGAAGACTGCTACAGCAAGGAGAGCCAGCCGTATTTTGTGCATTGCGATGGGCCCGCGCCGTGAAACAGCCCGACTTTAGCTGAAGGGGAGCATTGTTGAGGAAAGGAGAATCCTTGCCTGGAATAATTGCCTCTGAGCCAGGGAGAATTGGCTACTCCAGAGTGGGAACAGGCCCCCAGCTACCTCTGGCACCAACAGCGGGGCTGTTGCAAATCTGATTTGAGTTGCTAACAATGAGGTATTGAAAAGGCAAGCGGACCTCTCCGCTTTGCTTGCTGAAGCAAACCGGTAACAACACAAATGTGTATGTGGTAACAAGGTCAAAAATCTTCAGAAGAGACAGCAAAAGGCCAGGTGGAAAGAAAGGAAGCTTCTAAAAATCCAGGCATGTTAGATGAAAGGAGAATATAATCTGAACTGTAGTTGTTGTCTGTCTGCTGTGATACGAAGCTACGAAACGCTCGCTCTCCCCCCACCCCGAGCTCATAAAACTGTACCAGATGGATTATTTTGTTTTTCATTAAATAAAGAAACTTGTAAACAGTGCTCTGTACCATAGAGATCATAATCTCCGCCGTCCCCCTCCTCTTCCTTAAACACGGGAGCACGCACTTTGCCGGTTGTGCTCAGGCAGCGGTGGAGCCCCAGGCAAAGGCCCAACCTGCGGTCACTGCGGCGTGGGTGCTGCAGGCCAGACGCTCTCCCGGCACCCGAGAGCGTTTGCCACGTGGATTCCGTTGGTGCTTTTATCAAATCCTATTTCTGAAATCAAATAAAAGACTCAGTTGCACGGTGTTTGAATGCCACTCTGTGTTGGGTTAGGTCTGTGGAGCTGGCACCGCTCAGGCAGGGGAGAGCAAAAAGAGGAGGAATAATGGGCAGTTTTTATGTAGAAGGTAGCAAGAAATGTTTTGCGCAGGGCACCAGGAACAGTTGTTAGTCTCACCACTTAAATCAGTATATTCAGTTATTCTGCCATCCCTGCAGCTTTCAAATACGTGAGGTGTAAGCATTACAGGTTTCACTGTGATCCTTGCAACTTGAGCCACAGTTCTTGAGAGTGCTCTTGCACCCCTTGCTCCACTATTTCCCTGCCTACTACTTTGTGTAATAGGAATGCTACTTTTTTTTCCTCCTAGCTCATGAGTTTATTGAACATTTTACAAAAGCAGGTACTACTGTCTTCGTTTATGTTTCCATTATGCTGGAAATCTCTGCCATAGCAGTGGAGCAGCAGCCTCACCCGTGCTGCACACAGACACTGGTCAGTTTGTACCGCTTTCAGGCTGAAGGAAACTGCTCTGCTGCAAATCCCCCTTTCTGATGATCTTGTGTGTGTTGCCTGGGTCTGTAACAAGGTGTGGTGAGTGGTAAAGCAGGAATTGAGACCAAATATGTTGACTTCTTCAGCTCCATCCACTGGACCCATTGCTCATGTCCTGTTACAGAAAAACTCTTCCAAATTTACAGCCAAATTGCATCCTAAAAGCAGAGAATATCTCAATTATAAGGTGTACCCAGTTATTAAATACTGCGTATACTTGGTTTAGGTGAATACTAGATTATCATTAGATAATTTTTTTCTTTCATTCATGTCTTCTTATTATGACTGTTTTTCTGTTAAATGTATGTTTCCCTAATCAAATCTATATCTAGCAAAAATACTGGGGCAAAATGTTCTTATACTGTTACTTCTTATTTTCCAATAGTTTTAAAATATTTTGATAGCTCTATCTGTATATTAGTAAAAATACATTTGAATTATTATCACAAGATCTGCACACTTTTAATTTTTTTTGTTAAGTACCTAATACTGATAAATAATTGTTTCCAAGTTTGGTGCAGAGACGCTTACTTGAAGTAATTGTATCACTTTCATTGAGCTGTGTGATGTTCTTTGACGTGCCATGTGAGTAAAGTAATCCCTCCGTGGATCACCGTTTTATTCTTCCTGTCTATGCAGTAACAAGCGCCTTGTGGCCTTAGTGCCAACTGACACTTCATTCAACACCAGACGTGCCTACACCAGCGAAGATGAAGCCTGGAAGTCGTATTTGGAGAATCCCCTAACAGCAGCTACCAAGGCTATGATGAGCATAAATGGTGATGAGGACAGTGCTGCTGCTCTTGGCCTATTGTATGACTATTATAAAGTAGGTAACTCCATTGTTATTCCTCCCTGCTGCACTAGCGGGGGCCACTCTAAGAGGCATCAAAAGAGCCAGTTCTCAAAGACAGAAGTCACTGCATCTTGTTTTCTCTCTGATACTTGCATCAAGCACCCTTTCTGGTTTAGGGGAAGCCTGTCTGAGGCTGTTTTGATGTGTTTAGTTTTGGAGGGAATAAACAAAATCGGTATTCCCATATTAAATTTTCAGCCATGTTTTCTTTTTGAGCACAGCGTTCTTCCTCTTGCCTTGCAAGAGCATTAAATGAGTAAGCCCCCTATTTATTTGTGCTAGGATACTTGCAGTATTCTTTAAAAAGTGGAAAAGAGGAGGCCTTGTTTGCTTTTCTGTTTCATTCCACACGTTTCAGTTTGCTCTTTAACTGGAGTATCTCTCATCTGACAGTTTCCCATGTTATTTTTATTTGTATAATGATTGCAGTAGGCTGTATAAAAACATACAGTGAGCTTTAGCCCTTGCACTGGAAGTTTGCAGTCGAAATAGAAAGGTGGAGGACACAAATGAAGCTGGACACAGAAACGGAGATCTAAGTCAGTTTACAGGGGAAGCACTGACAGATTCGAATATATCAGACTCGAAGCCCAGATCTTTACCTACCATTTGGATACCACCTTTCTTTTTTGTATATTTAATTGTGTTTAAGTAGAGCTATGTTGGAGATTTCTGCTGAAGTCAGAGGAGAATCCTACAGGGTGCATCTCTGTGTAATGCAGAAATTTTACTCTGAAACCCAGCCTGATCCCCTTGTACTCTGCAAACGGAATCAGTATTGCCTGCTTGGCACGGAAACATGAAATTGTACATTTCACTTAAACTACTTCAGTAATCCTGAAGCCACCTATGCCTGTACTGGGCAGATGATCTTCCATGAAACCAGCAGGATAGTGACAGCTCCCTTATAATTCATACAGAAATCTAAAAATAAAAACGTTTTCTTTTAGTATTTTTTAATATAAATGCTTTTAGAGACTGGGCTGCTCTTTTTAGTGTCTACTACGGTCGTTAAATGAGTGTTCAGAAGGGGTGGTAGGCAAGTTGCCATATACTAGCTTTATGGTTAAATACTGTTTACATTTCTTCACTGATTGTGTTTCAAGAGATGTTTCTTGCTTTTGTGTGTTATGGTCAGTAGAGAAAAGCTTTTCCCAATGAGAAAGAAGCAAGGTCCTTTTCTCTACTTCAGTGTTACCACGGTGCCAGAGTCTGTGAAGTTAATGCACATTTGGAAAATTCAGGATGAGTATGAGCATGTGGAGTGTTGGCTTCTGTCTTCGTAATACCTTTGCATGTAGCAGGTCATTAATCTGCTGGATTTTGAAAATAGAAACAGAGAATGGCCCTTTCCCTCCTCAAAACTGTGTTCTAGAGGACATGTCTGTTCCTTGTTCCAGGCAGTTGCAAAAGACTTGGGGTTCAGGTGGAGTAAACTGTGTTAATCTCAAAGCTGTTTCCAGCATTCAGTCATAACTATTTTTCTTAAACTGGGAGAAAAGGAAAACTCTTGCTGGTGCTTTCAAACAGGAACTTAAAACCTAACTTAGCCCTCTGTGCTGTAATGTGGAAGTGTAGAGGAGAACTTCCAGTGTACAAGACTCTCAATTGCCCTTATTTATCACCTGGCTTATTTGTTTTGATGTGCTGGCTAATTTTTTTGAAGTACTTTTCCCAGTCAATAGAAATTATTTGAACTCAACTTTTTTTTTTTTTTCCTTTTTCTTGTGATATTTACCTAAACGTAGACCATCCTTCAGGGATAAAATTATGATCTTAACAGTGGAATCAGCATGTGCAAACTGTGGCTTGGATCCCACTTCTAAAATTTATGAAAGATGTTTTTTAGCCAGCAGGATGCTTAACAGGGCAAGAGAGTGTCCCTCAGACAAGGAAATGCTCTGGCCAGTGCTCTCTGACTCTGCAGCTGTCTTGCAGATATAGCTGATGTTAACCTTGGCTACTGTAGTGCACTGCAGTATTGGTTTTCCTCTAAATTCATATATTTCCCTGATACTTCTTTAAAGTATTTAAAGATAAAAGACACAGCTTTAGCCCATTCTTAGGTCTATTCTTGCACTTTAATCTTGAGTTAACTGCTGGGATGGAGTGGATATATCTTCTTTGTAAAAGATACAAGTTTTAGCTCCCAGATTGCTGGTTCAGCAAAAAAGAAAAATATGGTCATGGCAGCAACTTTGCCCTCGGTGATTTCATATGTATGCTGGTGTCAGGAAACCGGTCTGTGGGAAGACACATCTTTTAAGTCACTTTTGGTGTCAATTTTGAGTCTGTCGTGGAGCCAGATTTGACTGGATTTTTACTTCTCATGGCTGTTGATGCACCCAGCAAAGCAGAACTCGGTGTTCTCTGAAGACATGCCTGCATGCCCTGACCTGTTCCTGTGCTATAGGAAAGGGAAGGACCCACAAACCTCCCGTGGATACGAGTCCTGCACCCGCCAAACTGCTCACTAACAGGAGGATGTAGCTGGTGCTTGTGGTTTAATTGAAAGTCCTTTTTCCTCTGAGCTAAAAGGGTCTCCATGCAGTGCTCATCAAAGCATCATGTATTCCTTTTATTATTCACTCAGAAGTGTTGCGTGTGTTTGGGAATAGAAGCTTTTATTTTGAGATAGCTTGATCTAGCTTGATACTGCAACAATAAGGACATATAGAAGAGTGCTTTACTCCAGACTTGTGTACCCAAGAACTAGAAAAGAAAACAATCCCTACATTTTTTTCCCCTGTGGAAATTTTCTTTCTGTTCACAATCACTCTCCCAAAGAAACACAGCTCCTGGCATCTGCCAACTAGACGACACTGACACGGGTACATTTTTCTAGTTGTTGTAGTAGAGCAGTCTGAAGCTGCAAATACCTGACGGTTGCATTTACCTGACCCCATGCCTGGTGTTGTTCTCAGGTTCCCAGAGATAAAAGGCTGTTGTCTGTTAACAAAGTGAGTGATAATCAAGAAGACCAAGATAAAAGGTACAGTATTATTCAAAATCATACACCCAACTACTAACAGTGTTGATCGGTTGTGAACTGGAGAAACTATGATAGCCCTGAGGGTTTATGGTTTTCTTCCAAAAGATAAAAGAATAAAGACTGCTTTTGGAAAGCATACTTTACTCCTTTTTACTTTAATTTATTAGAAAAAATGAACAGTATTACTAAACATGAAATTTGCAAAGTTTAGAAAAAATTAACAGCATTACTAAACATGAAATTTGCAAAGTAGCAGAACTCTAATGATTTGTTTGCGTTTAGTTATTTTGCTGCTGCTTCGTAAAATCAGATTATATTGCCAGTTGGCTGTTGGCTGCTTTTCTTTCAATTTTCTTCTTCTGGACCAAAAAGTGAATAGTTTGGCCTCAGTAGCCTGATTTATACAGTTTTATGTAACATAACTTAGGCTCTGCTCAGAAGCATGTGAAGTAACTCTTAAAATCATTTGCTCAAGATGCTTTTGTCACTCCTCTCAGATTTCAGCCCTCTGCTGTAGGCTAAAAGTGACTTGAGTCAGAGAAAGCTGACTCCTGACTTTGTTAAGACTTGTGGACAAGAGAGTATAGATTTATGTAGGAAGAACGAAGGTTTTACATATAGGAAGGTATCTTCATGTGGAATTGTAGTGGAGAGAAGCTACACAAGGTTTATTTCAATGTAGCTAATTCAGGACAGCCTTAGATGGTCTCCGAGCTGTGTAAGGGGAAAGTTTGAATCGGTAGTAGTATAAATCCACTCTTTCAAACCAGAAGATGAAACTTTTTTGAGACAGTTTTTCTGTTGCTAACGCTAGAGAAATTCTTCAGTTGAGCGTGATTGACAAACCTGGCCTTCAGTGGAAAGCCGAGAGGGAGGAACTAATGTCAGAATGCGTCTCCTGGGTTGAAAACAAAGCAGCGCGTTACACCTACTAAAAGTCTTATGAGTTAACAATTTTATGGCAGTGCAACTCCTGTCAGGGATAACATTGCTCAGCAGCAATTGCGGTGAGACACGGGAATGCTGCTGGACGTTACCTTGCAGCCGCTGCTGTTACTGATCTAGTCTGATCCAAGGGGATTTCGGGGCTTGCTCTTTCAGAAGAGCATTGGTACCAGCATAACACAGACACCAGCGGCCTGTCAACGGCCTGAAAGAGCATGCATCAGCGTATGAATTTTGCTGGTGATATTCTGCTTATTTCATATGCAAATTATCTACCGTGAGTAATCCATACCTCACCTTACTCTTTATGCTTATTTTGTGCCTAAAGACCTGGCACTAGTGGATTGATTTTGCATCCACATTATAAGTCAAGGCACAAGCAGCCCTGGATGCCCAGAATTTATTGTAACAAATCGTACAGAGTGTAGATCAAATCAAGTGTACTG